AATTTTAAAATATTGTTATGCCAAAATAAAATACAAAATGGCGACCCTCTTCTACAAACAGGCAAAACAGCCACCTCACCCCACCGAAGTCAGGTAAGGGGAGAGTACCACCCACAGTCATTCTAAGAAGTGAACTCTGACCTTAGGACTGAACACGTAGTTTCTTCTATGTTAAATAAAATTTATAATCTAATTTTGTAAATTTGAGTGTGCTTCAAATATGATGTTAAAATGGTTTTATGTCATTACAAGTGGGTTTTTTTTAACATTATCTAGTATAGTAAAATCATAGAACCGATAAAAATTTGATGTTATATTAGGGTTGTCGTTACATTTGATGACATTATAATCGGATTAAACTGTATATTGTTTGTGCAAAATAAAATAATTTTGGACGATACAATAGCCATGATTATTTTTTTCAAAAACGGGAACTTTTTGTTACACATCGACAAAAATTCAGCCCGGGCTGACACACAATGGAGAGAAATTTTGAAATTAGATAGGTTAATTTCATCAAAGATGCATCGTGGACGATCTCATGGTCGTGGCCGGCAAAGTTTGAACAATCGCACCCAAAGGCAGCGATATCAAAGAAGATAGGAGAATGAGAACGAGACCTGCCTTGAGCATCAAAGTGATTCCGCTTAGTAGTGAGTCTCTGAGACATAGTCTTGTCCCAAATACGGTTTTGCCGTTTTACTTTTTTTGTTTCTATTGTGTTTAAAGTAATGTTGTTTTGGTTAAGTTCTTGAGTTTTACTTTTAGTCATTACATATGTGTAGTTTTAGTACTAAAACTACATTGGTTTAAAGTCATATATAAAGTGTTAGGTCAAGACATAATCCTGTAAAATTCCATCTTTGAAAACTTAAAGAGTTAAATTAAAAAGGGTTTTAAGCATTAAATGAAAAATAAGAAAAATTCAAGTGCAAGCAAAAAAGAAAAAATAATAATAATTCAAAAAGGAGTTCAATGGTTAGCTTGAATTGTTGGAATCAAATGTTTTAGAATGCTTTGGCTTAGAATTGCAACTTTGGTTTTGGGAAGAAAGAAAAATAAACTGGCTTTTGATTGAAGTTGTAAATCCATAGCAGGGTAAATGTAAACATAAAATGGTGTTGGGATGTTAAAACTAAAAATTCTGATCAAATAAGGAACTATTTAAGTTATAGCTTTAGCAGTAGTTTTCTGTGTACTTTGAAATTACTGTGCTTACTTGTTATATATGTGTTACTGTCTGAAACTAAATAAATATTTATCTTGTATTTTCATCAAATCAGTAACTGAATTCATTTTATTTTCATTGCTTTGAAAACAGAGCACAATTTAATTTAAGAAATCAAATTCAGATTCTATTATTCTCAAAACTTTAAAAAGTAACTGAAATATTTTCTTTACTATTGTAAAAAGTTTATTTGAAATGAATAAATATACAGTATTTTCATTGTGAATTATAAACTTACTTTTTGTGGATCAATTTTATCATACAGCCTTAAAACAAGAAGTACTCTATCCTTGATAATCTCTAATGTCAATGGTTCCTTGGCACTGTAGAATCTTTTCTGATTAAACAATACCAAAGAAGAAGCCTAAAATTAAAAACAAAAATTACATTAAAATCAAAAAATATAGTTCTATTTTAACTTTTATTAATATTTCAGCAAAAAGCCTCTTACAAAATTTCCAAAATGTTAATAATTACACAAGTTATCAAGTTGTTTACGTATAAAATTTACAGAATGATTCCTTAACTTTTTAAAGATAATACTGTAAGTTTTAGAAGTAAACTAGCAAAAAAGCTAGTTTACCATTTATGATATAAATATATGTAAATCATAACTTGGTTTATAAGTTAAAGCTTATTGCCATTTGTAAAAATACAAAGATTTAGAACATAAACATAAAACTTTGCTGTACAGTAAAATTTTATGTATTATTAATAAGCAAATAGATTAACTAAATGAATCTTTATCAAATTTTAGTTTTTTAAACTTTTTTAAAATTTCATTTTAACTTAACTCATATAAACCATTTATCTTTTGAATATCAAAAAGCAATTAGTCTGCATCAACAGGACACACACATTGCAGTTTCTTCTAACAGTCATCAGTAACATAAATGTATTTTCAGCCTGTCTGATTAGAAATAAGATAATACAAGTTGTACTCCACAATGGTTTTATAAAGAATGTGATGGATGTTGGTGATTCTGTGTTGACTATTGTAAGTTGTACTCTGTCACAAATAAAGAAATCTACTCACTTCTATGGATAGACAACATTATAAACTACAAAAGGCCCAATACTATTAATCAATAGATCTGCAATACATATATCTATATATATAAAAATGAATGTATGTCTGTCTGTCCTTCATGCATTACTACACCATTTATCCGATTGCCATGAAACTTTGGGAAGTTGTTCAATATACTCCCGCAAAGGTTTCTGGCATAGTACATTTATCCTACGATAGATGGCACACATGTATACGAGCATTTCATCATGAGCATTTCAGCATGGTTAGGAGTCAAAACTTGAAATTTGGTACACAGTTAGGGTATGTTACGAGAACGCACACTAACAAGGGAGTTTTTGAAATTCCCCCCTCCACTGCAGGGAAAGGGACAGGATTAAGGCTTTAACAATGGAAATGTTAAAAGAAAGCAATGTGCAAGATTTACAGGCGCAGATGCGGTTTTTTATGTTAAATCAAACATAATTTTAGACCCATCTTAAAATTTTCTAATTAGTCTGGAAACAGGGGAACCTAATTCTTGCATTCTGTGAAAATGGGTAAGATTGACTGTAATGTAATAATCTTAATCTTCGCCATCGTTACTTTTTGCCCAAGCAACACCAAGCTTATCTGCTAGTTGCAGATATATAGTGCATATATAAGTCAACAAACAAGTTAGAAGAGACCAGTTTCATCAATTATGTTGGATTATTCAGATTTCAAGTCTTCCTATTTGGATTATGCAATGCTCCGGCTATCTTTGAGACAAAGAAGGACAATTTCTTGTAAAGTTTGAAACGGAATTGATATACTCTTGAGAAATTGGAACAATCAGCAACTCCACACCTATACTCTTTCTAGCAAAAATCTTTTTAATGGGACAAGCATTTTTGGCCTCTTTAAGAGACCTGTGTCAGGTTTTCAAACTATTTTTAAATAACATCACATTGTTTGAATGTTTCAGTTTGGAATAATCAATAGAACATTCATTTTAGAATAGTTTAAAAACCTGACTCGGGCTTCTTAAAGACACTGTAAAATGTCTGTCCTATTAAAATTGTTTTTTGTTGAAAAGAGTATGGAAGATATTGAGTTGCATATTGAAATGGAAAATTTGTTTGTTACCTCAATGATGTTGTTTTTGCACTGACTTCTGGAAACATCTTAGATGCTTCTCTGTGATTTTGGAGTGCTTCCAACAAGTCAGCATGTGAATACTATGCCAATTCACTGACAGAATGGAGGTTCAACTGGCAGGACTATTGAGTGTTTGTATGGGGCCAGGGTATAGAACAGATCACATTAGCCTTTTGTTTTTTGAACAGACAAAATATGTAAAATGTTTCTTTAAAATAGAGCAGTCTTAAAGATTTTATTTTGTTAGTAAAAATAATAATTTTATAGAGGGTAAGAATCACTACAGGCCTCAAGTTTTCTCCAGGTCCAGGGAAAAATCCCCAGCTCTCCTCTCAATGGCCCGGAAAACCAGAACTGCATAAAATACAAATCATTATGGACTTTTCTATCCCATATCATCTACGACAATTTCTGAGCTTTTGGAAAGTCTAAAAAAGTGTATTGTTATCAGGAATACATATGCATGCAGTTTCAACTAGATTGGAAATTGGAAAATGGATGAAAATTAAGTTATTTTATCTGAACGAATGCACAGTATAAGCTAATAGTTCCCAAAGCGGGTGCTAATGCTCCCTGGAGAGTGGTGAGAAAATGTAGAGGAGAAAAAGAAAAAAGGGAGCACTGGAGGAGGGTCCTGACCTGACAGTGACCACAGACAAAGATTCAGGTCACTGATAACCTTTCCCTTTCTTCTGTTAAAACAAGAAGAAACATTCATGTTGTTGCTAAATTTAGCAGTGCTGCAAAGGCTGTAGGAAGCTTAAAGCAAAATCATTGCTAATAAGATTGCTGCATGTAAAGCAAACAACCAGTTTGAGAGTATAATTTACAGCAGCCTCAGAAGGTACTTTTTTTTCACTTTATCAAGATGGCTGCATTCACGAATGGACTCTTCAAGCTTGATAATTCTTGATTATAATTTTACTTTTCAATCTGTTAAATAACAAAAACTAAATACATAAGAATTTAAACACTTATTCAATGAATACTTTTATTGAGCATAAATGAGCATTAAAATACTTTTGCATTCTAGTTAAATGTCCCTATCCTTATAATGAAATATCATTATCTTTTGTCAAGGAAGACTGGCAAAAGAGTATCTTTACATCTATTAACATTATATAACTTGTTGAACAGTGAAATTATAGCTAAGTTTATATGCCACGTTTCATCATTGCTGTAGCATTTGGTGTTGTAAAAATTACTATTTGAATGCATGCAACTTCTGCTTCAGAACTGCTGAATTTAGCAACAAGTGTATAGCATTTAAGAGTTTCCAGATGCAGAGAACAATATACAGTAAGGATACAAAGTGTGAGGTTTGTAGAAAAGCTTTTCTAACAATGGAAAAACAGGTTGGGGTATTGTGTATAAGGCATAAGTTTACAGAAGCAAGAGGGCGGTGGTTCAAAAAACTCTGGGAATCACCGATGTACAGTACATTAATAAATAGCGTATAAATTTTTAAAAAATTTTTAAAGTATTTTTCAACGAAAAAGAATTTATCAATAATGGTTTTTCAAATAAAAAGCTTTGCTCATTCAGTTTTAAATGCTGTTGAATTAGTCAGATCCTAATTGTCCTTCACCAATGTTCTGAATACTTACTTCCACTCATATACTATAAATCTAACTTACCAAATATTTGTATGTATATACAGAAGAAAAGATGTTAGAATATAAGATAAAAAGTAAAATTCAAAAAGAGAGAATTTTTAAAACAGGAACCTCAACAAACATCTTACATGAAGATGATCCTTTCCATCAGCCCATTAGCTTAATAAATTGTACTGTTGTAACAAATCTAATTTAATATTTTGCTATTACACCTTGTTTATATTTTAATAAAACATCAAACTTTGCTTGAAAAATACATAAAAATAGTTTGTTAATATTTTAAATAATATTAATTATACCTTAGGCTTTAGATATTGATAATTTCCTTGAAAATTTTGCACGTTTATGTGAGCGTTAGTAGACACGGCGCATGTGACTACATTTCGTGCAGGAATGAACAAAGAAGGCATTCTCAGAAAGCATTGTACCATTCGACCAGCCATCGCCATTTTTGGTATGTTCCTGACCTTTTTATCAACGCCCTCTAGCGCGATTATTCAAAATTTGCTACAATTTATAATCAAAATAATTACAGTATAAACAATAGAAAAATNCTAGTGACTAGTATAATGTTATTTGTTTAATTATTGTACGATATAACAAATAAAATATCTAATTATTCTTAATATAATGTTTTACTATATCGCCCATAAAATTGTTTTTCGCCCCCCCAAAATATAAATTGTCACTAATCACCAACATGGGGGCGATATCGCCCCCGTTGAGAAACACTGATCTAGATGATCACCTCTTTAAGAACCATATTCTATTATCAAAATCTATGCATTCCTGATAATGATTATTATTAATATTAGGAATTTGAATATTAAAAAATGTTTTCTAATTATTTCTTATGGGAAAAATTCTAACTTTTCCACTTCATCCAAATAACAACCACCATTTTCTCAAATAATACTAAAACACTGCAAAAACCTATTTACTTCATTATTTTAGTATATTAAACAGATCTAACTCCAATTACCTTAGTAACAAACACTTAGTGATTAATGAGAAGCTATGATTGTAAGCAACAATATACAAAATAAGTTTGTATAATACTCCCATTAGGAAATGCACAGGAATTGTATATGAAAGCAATGAAAACATTGTAATGATACTGTTCATTATCATGTGAATTAATGATTTTAAGATTCATTCCTAAATTATGGATTAAACTCTGCTCCATTATTCTGATGGTATTTACATTGGACCAGGTTTTGAGTACCACAGGTTTGTTCTAATGTATGGTGGCATCCTTTTCTAAAGCCTATTGAGTCAACACCGTGCTGTTACTAGGACACAAAGTGAATAAGTTTCTTGATGGAAAATGTTATAGAGCTGTAAGTGATCCCACATAGAAGAGGTGTGTTTCTAATTTTAAAAGAACAATCTTTGTATTCAATTGATATGAATTCTAAGCTGATGTCCTGGTTAGGACAAAAACATATCTTAGTCAACTATTATAGTTATTTAGCTTTCTGAAGCAAGCAAATAAATATTTACATTACTATGGTGCTAAGTGTATATGAAGTAGTTGATTATACATCATAATGATGGGCAAGAAGCTAAAGAAGTGTGCTTCAAAGTTACTTAAGCTTGAAGAGCAATACATTGTCTTATGCCAGAATAGACTCAATGGAGTGTTCCCAGAGTGTCTTCAGAACTTCCTTTCTTGTGAATTATAAAAGAATTCAGTAAAGATCATTGTTAAGTGTTTCAATTCCAACATTTCTATAAAATGAATGCAAATGAATGCTGAGCCAAATACAAGTGCAATGAAGCTAGAAATAAAATGCAAGTCTCCATCATTGACAAATTTGAATTTATTGAAGTTCTAGAACAAGGTAAAATGCATAATATTGAACATAAAGGATCAAAAAGTTAAAATGAATCTTCAGCAAACAATTACATGTCAGTCCAACAAGGAATCTTCCACATCAACCCAGTTTTCTACATGAACAAAATGTAGTGATACCAAAATGAGTAGGCAATGCCTTCAAAGTACAAGCACAAATTTACCCCAAATCCTCTACCATTCAAGGATATCACAATTTAGGAGCTTGAATGCTTTTGCAAGGATTTACTTGCAGAATAACAAGCCAAAGCCGTGAACCACCTATTGACTAGACTGCAGGATCTTTATACAACGAGTTACAATACCTGTAATACAGATCTATAAAAGAATCAAGTCCTAGTGCAAAGCTAAAAACACCGTTTGTATGCAAACAAAAGTAATTTACCAGTTTTTCTGAAATGCAGTACCAACAACTCCAAAATGAAAGATTACTTCAACAGACAAGCTCTATTCCGCTAAATTTTGATCCTGGTACTGCTTTGTTTAGTAGTCTGGATACTAACTAGGCAGTAACAATAAACTACCTGTCTTTTTGGCCTTTAAACCCTTGTATAGAGTTTCAGTATTCAGATGATTCGAGATGGTAGAAGTACATAAATTGCATTGGCTTTAGAGCCAATGCAATTGCAAGGCCAGCTTTAGAGATAACACATACCCTAACTATCATGATGGAATATGGGTTGCATACCCATTTCACCATTGACACACTCCATATACTTTCTTCATCTCCCTAGGTGTCATAAAAGCCTTATCATGTGTTGAAATAGAGTTGGTAGACCTTATTACTGTGACAAACTATGCTAATCTTTAGCCATCCATTACAATAGAAGCAGCCATTGCCCTAACTAGATGTTTAATATGTAATAAAAGGTGCTTAAGTATTGAAAATACAAATAAATACAAGATAGTTGCAGATTATTTAGATATTACAACCTGTTCAACTCTCATTTAACATGGAGTGTATATATAGTTCAATTGTAAACTAAGTACATGTTACAAACAGCCAATCAAAACACATTACATTGTTTTAACTCTGTTCTGATCACTGAATAATCTAGAAATTTAATAAAAAATGATTATACTAAAAAGAACAACTTTTATTCACTTGTGCAATAAAAATTAACCGTTTACTGAAAAGTAATACTATAAAGCTTGCTATTATTTTCAAGACTTATCCTTAAAAAAATTTCTAATACAGTTTAATTTAATTTCACTGGAATTTAAATACAGTAGTCTTGAAAACTTGGCACTCGATAACCCGGCAGTCTGGATAACTTGGCCATACCCTGGCAGGACAAAAAAAATCCTTAGTTAATTAATTTTCATTATAGACAGCTTTATGCCTCAAAGTATTTTTCTGAGGTCTGTCTTATCAGGTAAATTATTGTACACAGTGTATTCATTAATTTTCATTTTCATGTAGTAAAGGCTCTATGCCTTCATAAAGGACGTACTTTTCCTTTGTTTAAGGGTATTTGGGCAGTTTATTCTCTGTTATATTCTCAAGTAAACAATACATACAAGTACAGTACAGTATTTTCTGAGGAAACACTCGTACTTATTTTTTTTAACCCCATTCCCGATAACCCGGCATTTTCACAAACTCGGCCACCCTTCGGTCCACATTAGGCCGAGTTTTTGAGACTCTACTGTATATGTATGTACACAGTTTATTAAATGTACAACAATTACAACTAATACTGTAAAAAAATACAATTTAAAATATATAGAAGACTAAATTTTATTAACTTCATAAACATTTTCAAGTTTTTTAGTTTATTGTCAGATATAAAAAATTATAAACTTGTTAAACTGAAAACTTTAAAAACACTTACAGTTAATAAAATGTGGATTTTGTATACTTCAGATTGCTGTTTTATTATTAAAATAAATTGTTCACAAATAATTAAAGACCAACATACATATATATTTTTTTTGTTTTGCAAAAGCTATTGTTACTACTAATATTGTGAATAACTAAAATTTATCATATAATAATTTAATTATTAGACATATAGCATAAATTATATTTTCATATTGTGTTTAAAACTATAGAATCATAATTTTAAATTTAATGGTAAAAAATTCAACAGGTTACTTACCAAATTCATCTTCCATAGCCATTATTACTTCTACATGATCTAAACTATCTAATCCCAAATCTTTCGTAAAATGAGACTCTACTGTCAACTGAAAAATTAATTTAACATTATTATTAATTTTGTGCATAACTTTTATTTTTTTCCATTAGAAATAGATAATAATCTAAGTAAAATTTTTAATTTATTAAACCTAATTTTAAAAATTGTAGTATTTTTGTATAATTCAAATATTTTATATCAAATTAGTTAAAATAAGAAAAACAAAATGCTTTAAACAGTTTTATTAGAATTTTTGTCATCTACTGATTATATAAATTACATTAATTTTTGTTTTAATCATTATCAATTTAATATTTATTATAAAATTATTAACGGTCTTAAAATGTTAATAATTTTTGAATTAATCACAATTTGAAAAGATTAACAATATATCACCACTTTACAAACATTTTAATACTATTATTATGTTGGGTGTAGTAGGTTATAATCAGCTGACACGAGTTCTTGTGTACTATGTCGGACTAGAGTCAAGGCATAGCAACCAAAACAAGACAAAAATAAGTGTGTCAGTGTGTGTGTGTCTGTACTCAGGAATTTCCTAATACAACATGTATTCAATATAGTGGCTTTCTGTAGTGTGATGTTATGTGTTTCTATTCAACTATAATGTTCCCATGTTTTGTGAAGTGTGTGGGATATGACACCGGTAGAGGGAAGAACAGGTATAATTAGCACTCCCATCCATCCTCCACAGATGCCTTATTTTCTAGGCAAGTTCTATGTACCTGCTGATTTGTTGTTATTATTATTCTATGTTGATGTATATCAATAAAAATTTCTTGTTAATCAATCATTGAAATCATCAATGATTGAAGAGAGATCAATATTGATTAAGCTCTCTTCAATCATTTATGCAGAAAACTTGTTTTCCTTGCATGTACTAAATACATCAAGAATTTCTTAATCTTCCATATTTCGAAACTGTGTTGTATCTTTATATTTGTTTTTCAAAACCGCAATGCAGTGTAATAATCAACACTTGGCATAACTCATTCATTTATTTCAGCTTTTTATTGAGCCAACAAAGCATATGCCATACCTTGAGGAATTTGTAGAACAACTAAAATAAATCCTGTCATAATGTCACTTAATAAATATTTTTTAAGTGGATAACGAGGTAGCCAGTATAACAGAGGAAATACAGAAAATTACAGGACTGCATTATTCTGTATTTCATCTGTTATACTGGCTACCTCATTACCCACTTAAAAAATATTTATTAAGTGACATTATGACAGGATTTATTTTAGCTGTTCTACAAATTCCTCAAGGTATGGCATATGCTTTGTTGGCTCAATAAAAAGCTGAAATAAATGAATGAGTTATGCCAAGTGTTGATTATTACACTGCATTGCAGTTTTGAAAAACAAATTTCTTAATCATAAAATCTAGTCAACAGAATGTTGAGATGGTTTCAAGATCAATTCTATTGACTGAAGGTATCAGGCACTCTAATCAA